TTAAGCATTTTATATTCTGTATCTATCATATCATCACAGCGCGCACGCACACACACATATATATATATATATAAGGAAGTAGCTTCTATATTTATTCAAATATTTAAGCAATGTCGAGCCTGGTCAGTGCCTAGATGGGTGACTACTTGGGAATACCAGGTGTGAGTTTGGGTATGCGGATGCTGCTATAGAAAAACGTCTTTTGATATTGGTGATCGGAGATTCGACTTTCATTTCCAGTCGGTTTCGCTATCACTGACACGCAAATAATATGGGGAAAGGTATGAAACCATCTATTCTCCACCGGCTATGGGTTAATTAGTAGGATGTGTACCAGTAAATCATTATTATCTTCAAAAACCTTTTTACAATCTAAAAAATATTTTCTGGTTTAAATAACCTGCAAAATGTTGATAAACCGTAAAAAACAAATTTTAATCACAGTCATTGCGACACTTTATACACAAACTGGAAAAATACAATAATTTATTAGACTGACCAATATAAACCTCGTTTTTCTTCTTCTTCTATGCGCTGTGTCCCTTCAGGGCGTAGGTGATCATAGCTCTCCACAATTTCCTGTCCTTTCTAGCTCTGAATAAATTGTCTTTTTATTATCTCTCCTAAACCTTGTTCCGCCATCAATTTTCTTAAGCTCATTCTTCTTCTATGCGCAATGATCCTTCAGGATGTTGTCGATCGTGGCTCTCCACAATTTCCTATTCTTTGTAGCTCTTAATGAGTTTCGTCTTTTTGTTGTCTCGAGTAAATTCTGTTCTATTTACACAAACTCGTTAGGTAGGTAATGTGCGTTTTTTTTTTATCAAATTTTCTAAGCCCTCTTTTGTCATAATGTGTCTGAGAAATCTCAAGTTTCCCTTCCTAATCTCATCATTCATGGAAAGAACACTTCGAGTGGATTGCGAAGGGAATGAGGGTGGACGTGGCATAGAGGACCCTAGCCGTGAAGTTTATGACTGGTGGAACTAAGAAATGTAGTTCCTCTGAATACATTCCATGGAAATAGCGACAGAACAGCAAGAGGCTTGCGACACTTCATCTGTGGGAAAGAAATTGTAAAGTAGAACAAATTCATCACCCACAAGGCTGCGTAGATGTTTTTGGATTTTATTTAAATTTTCTAATGAATCTTAATTATTAACTCTTAAGTTAATGATTGAATAAAGACTTTTACGACAATAAAATATACGTAGATATTCCCCTGTTGCTTTTTTAAATATTTGAGCTTAACAACTTTAACAAAATATTGCAATAACAATCATAAATATGAATGCTGGTCATTATTTTAAGAAGTAAGGGGATACAAATGAAAAGATTTAAAATTGCCAACCTTTTTCCATTTCAATAAAACAGCCGTTAAACACTTTTATCTTCCCTTCTTTCTTTCTTTCATTTTCTCACTAAAATGAAGTAGTTTCTTTCCCCGCTCTTTCCACAGTATAGTCCATTATTTATGAGGTATTGGCAGGAGACATTAAACACTTTTATCTCCCCTTCTATCTATCTATCTATCTATCTATCTATCTATCTATCTATCTATCTATCTTTATCTTTCTTTCTTTCTTTCCACATTCCCAGCTTGCGAACACTTCTCTAAATAATAATTTTAAAATAATTCAACCGACGATTTTATTTTGTTTAATTTATGGTAATTGGATTTTTGGGCGATTGCCGTATTCGATTTCTGTCGTTCGATACTACGCGTCTGTAAAAAGACATTTGTAACGCGATCGCCATCGCTTTTACCTGTCTTAGTGGGGACGTCATGTAAATAAAGAGAAACCAAAGTGTAGCATCTGTTCTTATTGGCTTAATCTGATTCTTTCTCTCTCTCTCTCTCTCTCTCTCTCTCTCTCTCTCTCTCTCCATTGTTTTGTTTTTCGTTGTTTGTTCTTTTCTCACTGAAACCAAGTAATGTCTTTTCCCTTCTTTCCACACGATCAAAACGCGGAATAGTCTATTATTTATGAGGTATTGACAGGACGTAACGGTCGTGCTAGATAACGAAGGGAGGAACAACCCCAATTATAATAGGATGTTTATATATTTATATAGTCATATATTTATATAGTCATATATTTATATAGTCATATATTTATATCGTCATATGTAAAAAAAATTCCTTCTTATGATAGTAAGAACTTAAAAAACAACCAATTCATTTTTACGCCACTAGTGAACTTTTATTAATATAAAATTAATTTTTTTTTCTAGGCACAAGTGGTGTAGGGGGGGGACAGCGTGTAACCTACCTGACGAGCTTTTGTAAATGGAAAACAGTTCGAGGTGTGGGAAGAGATTAAAAAGAGTAACGAAAGATAGGAAGTTGTGGAGAGTCATTATCACTCCCGTCCTGAAGTGACATGGCACATAGAAGAAGCATTTCCGAAACAAATATTAAATTATTGGTTTACACTGACATAAGATATATTGAGCCATTTCTTTACCAGTTAAAGAGGCCACAGATGAAGAAGAAGCAATTAAATAACATAATGAATTTTATATTGTAATGGAGGAGATTTTCATGTAAAGCTTTATTCAGCTTCCTCCTTCCTCAATTTGTTTTTCATTCAGAGACGTGATGCTGGCATATATGACATCAAATAACTCCAGTAAATTGCTTACGTCTCTAATAGGAAATTGTATGTTGAGCTCACAGCCACATATGACCACATTTTTTCTAATTGGTTTCACTCCAAGAAAGGTAGTAAAGCCACTAAGACACAAAGGGGGTACTGGGTGTGGAAGAAATAAGAATAGCAACATTAATAATGAGCGGGAAGAGAAAAGAGTAATCAGGAGGACAGTAGATAACGATTGATATTGCATTTAAAGTTTTGGAGATTAACGTTTGCTAGAAAGCCAGAATGAAATTCCACAAGTGGGAGAAATGAAACTATTAATATAGAATTTACTGTTATATCTAGCCAGCTCAACTGTAAATTGATGATGATGCAATAGTCTTTGAAGGCGGGAGATTTTGTCGGCTTTTAATATCCAGTTTCTGGCTTTGATGTGGAATCGATCCGTGGGAAATACGCAATTTTCTCAGCCACAAAGTAGACCCTTTGTCTCAAGCTGTTCTTGGCGATTAAATCGGTCGTTATCGACGTTTTACACCAAAGGAGGACAATTTCCAAACAATAAAATGTCTCCGAAGTTAGTATTGACGCGTGTCAAGATTATCGAATGGAGTTCGTGATATGAACAAATAACAATGTTTGTCGTTAAATGCAGACCTCAGACCGGAAGTAGCGGAATCGAAAAACCGCAAGAATGACGTCAAAGTAATAAATTGATTTTTGTGTCTTTTTCTCAACGCTTGACGTCCTTCTTTGCACCTGTCCTCCCTCTGATTTCTGACAACCTTTTGCATTCTGCGACATGACTATGGTCATTTTTGTTGATTCCACGAAATTCTACATGAGAAATGGCGTTTTTTTTTTTTGTTTTTTTTATCCACGATAATCTGGTATCAAGAATGGTTTTGTGGTCTCTTTAGCACAAGCGTCTTAGCGAGAGGGTAATAGTTACCAAAGCTAATCTGGTTGGCCGTTACTACTAGTAACGATTTCAAACCTCACTAGGTGGCCCATACATAATTCAATATTAATCAAACAGGAGTTTAAATGTTATAAAATCAACCAAACTTAGAAAATTGACAATCCCTTCCTCATTTGCAATGCTTTCCTATAGTAAAATCATTAGCAATGCATTTACATTATACATATAATAGCCCTATTCTATTAGTAATGCTTGCATTCATTCCTGACCACTGACAATCCCTTTCTTCCTCATTTGAAATGCATTCCTATAGTAAAATCATTAGAAATGCATTTACATTATACATATAATAGCCCTATTCTATCAGTAATGCTTGCATTCATTCCTGACCACTGACAATCCCTTTCTTCCTCATTTGCAATGCATTCCTATAGTAAAATCATTATTAATGCATTTACATTATACATATAATAGCCCTATTCTATCAGGGATAACGACCTTCATGAACCTACCCGACTGGAAAGATTTGATTATTACAAAAACTTTACCAGATATGCCATACGCTGGAGAGTTTCTTTACCTATGCTGCACCTTGCCAATGGCCTTTGAGATATTTAAAGTAATTAACTATCGAATTTTTCACTGATTCTTTAATATCATTTAAAGAATCAGCAGTGGACCTCGCGTGACGAAATCCATACTACTTGTCGCTCAGTTAGGTGTTTCTAGTGAGCGAACTTTTTGTTAATAATAATTTCAAAGATTTTGCTGATGACATTCCTTGATATTGTTTTTTACATTGATAGTAACAACAATATTACGTTTTTGAGGTGAATCAGGAATTATGTATTTTCGTAATTTTCTTTCGTCTTAATTTTTGCTTGGAATAAAAATTTGATATAGTAGATAACGATATAGTTATTTACGAAACTTAGTTTAACCTGGCAACATTGCTAACTGACAAGTAGTCGTGAAAAGATTAAGCTGTGCCAAACTTCCAAATAGGGTGATTCTTGAAAATATATAGTCCAGGAAATAAAAGTAATTTCTCACTACTTTTTTATATGTTATCTTTCGGCAGACAAACGAAATGGATCAAATTCTCTTTGGTCATTCGCTGTATACTTTGTATTTATTCAACACCTCGCTGTGCATCTATATTTAATGACATTGCAGATAGTAATAAGAAATTATCGATTGACAATGGCTGACAGTAACGAGATTTTACGTGATCTGTTTTGAATTCAGCGTTTCTAAGCCTTCCGATTTTTTTATCCAACCAAAAACCGGCTTTAAGTTGTCTGTTTTATTGTTACAACCCAAAAGATACCTGTTAAGCTATTACATCTATTACTTCCAATTGTCGATACCTGATTAGGATGACAAATTTATTCAATAACAAACAAGAGGTCAATTGACGTGAGGTTTTAAAATCCAAAAATCAGTTGGAGAAGAAAAGAAATATTTCAATTAAG